TCCAATAAGCCATTAAAGCACCACAGGTGATAAGTTGTTTTGTATTATTTTAAGTCTCAGCAGATGCATAGAATATGTTTACTTGAATTTTTACATTTTTATATTTTGTCTTGTGACCACAGTGAGTATTAATGAAAGGCAATAACTCGCTTTAATATGCAGAGATAATTTTTAAGGGTAAGCAGTTAGTTATAAATAATTAAATTAGGTAGTTTCATAACTTTAGTCATTACGGATTTACATGACCACTATTAAATCTTATTTTTTAACAATATTTGTTAAAAAAGCCCTATTAAAATCAAAATCTCATAAAATTTCACAGTTTAAAATACATATAATTTATGGCACAGATTCTTAAATGATATTAAGATAATTACACATTAAAAGCTACAAAACATTTATGTTTTGTAACAATAACTGTCAACAAAATATTTATCCGTCATTTTAATATGAAGCCTTCTCAGACATTTTGGCTAGTTTATATCGATTTTCTTCTCTTTTAAGCATCTTTTCTAACAATTAGAGATTTGTCTCAATACGCAAACCAATGCTCTCACTAGTTTCTGTGTGCTTTATCTCCTAACTTGTCAACCTCTCCACAATGTACTTATGAGGGTTTAATTGATCTGGTAAAAGTTAAATAGTCCAAAACCCTCAACAGACGTGAAGTATATTATCGCTATGTCTGAAATTAACTACAATATCAGAAAAAGGTTTAAATATGCCTCTTGCCTTCAAATCCTTCTAAACTTTCCAAGCTGCAATGTCTAAAATCCTAAAGAAAAATTATCCTTACCATTTCTGTAACAGCAAAAAGCCAGAAATATTTTGGAAAAAAAAGGAGGAAAAAAGTATAAAATTAATTTTATAGAGAAAACTGATGCACATTCTGAGAATTTTGAATATTCTGAGACAATTACATGGGAAAATCTCTTGCTATGAAAAAATTTAAAAACAAGACATTTTTAATTAATTACATAGCTAATTTTGCTTTTGCTAAGAGCTGTTTCATAAATTGTGCTTTCTAGCATAATACCTTGTTTATTTTTCAGATTCAAAATATTGTATAATAAGTTGCCAAAATGAAACTTTATAATATGACAGCGAAAAATTAAAATGTTTATTTTAATGTTATTTTTTAAATATAATTTCAATATATTACCATTATTTTAATGAAATTTATCAATGTTATGATGTTTTAAAAAATCGTCAAAAAATTTTCAGATCTCGGAATTAAAATGTTTCTATAGAAACATCTTAAAATCGTCAAAATGTTGAAAAGTCGACAAATTTAGAACCTGCTTAATAAAAGAATTCACATACTCAAAAATGAAAAGTTGTTTAAGAGCTCTTTACTAAAAAAAAATGAATTTTGAAAAGCTTATGTTTCACTTCTTGCTTAGAAACTCTAATATCCCATCATTTATTTATATTAGAAACAGAAACAACCCATTCGAAAGATAACCATATATACGGCAGTGAATCACCAAAAATATTTCTTAAAATGCTAATTCACACTCAAAATGACAGTCGTAAAAACAGACAGAAATTTCAGATGATTAAAATTAAGGACCTTCTGCCGAATTTGGCCAAAATTAAGGACTTGTGATGTCGTGGATGCTTCAGTGGGAACGGAATCAACACTGGTATTGGTGATGCATCACTTTAATTACAGCACATACCACAGATACAACATTTAATTAATACATTTAGAAAACTTGAGTACATATCCGAGTTGGTGACACAATCAGAGACGTTAACGAAGAAGAGCACTCATCATCACTGGTCAAATTTAGTCCCCATACCTCAGCTCGCTAGCGGAGTTTCCCAGCACTCTCTCTCACTGGTGTCTGACCAGAATTCTCTTCTCTTTACGCATGCGTATTACTTCGTTAAGTTGTTGCCATTCACAGTTCTTTAAAATATGAATTAAAAATGAATTATAGTCCTCGTAGTGTGATCTCTAATCGAGAGCATCATAGATCTTTCTAGTAGAGAGTTCAGGAGGAGCATTCTTTACAGACTTTTAATGACCAAAAATCGATTCCAAAAAATCTAAGGACTTTTAAGGACTCTTAATGAACATACGAACCCTGATTTTAATGTGTAGTTATCCTAATATTGCTTACGAATTGATGTCATAATTTACATATATTTTAAACAGCACAATTTTATTAGATTTTGATTTTAATATGACTTTTTTAACAAATATTGTTAAAAAAGAAATAAAATTTAATAGTGATCATGTAAATCCATTATGAAGGTTATCTAACTACCTAATTTAATTATTTATAACCAACTGCTTACCCTTAAAAAATTATCTCTGCATATTAAAGCGAGTTATTGCCTTTCATTAATCCTCACCATGGTCACAAGATAAAACACAAAAAATTCAAGTAAAATTTATTCTTTGCATCTAGTAAGACTTAAAATAATACAAAACAACCTATCACCTCTGGTGCTTTAGTGGCTTATTGAAACCTTAAAGTATATTAACTGGGTTACAACCCCTGGAACCTGGAACTCTACATGAAGCTACGACACTAACTGCATCAAACAAAGCCCAACTAACTTTCAAAACTTGCCAACTGTGCCTACATCAGGCCTTTCACGTTTGTTCTAATCAGCAGGTCTCTCTCTAGACAAGCAGCAGTGGTGACAACATTCAGTCTTTTGTTATAAATCATGATGATTATGACCTTACTTCTCATTTTAACCTGTGACGCTTAACGTAAAATGTAGCTGCTATTTAGTAAACCTCTAGACCTTAAAGTATGTCACAAAATGAGACATAAAAAAATCAACATAAAGCTAACTGTTAGTAAAACGTAAATGTCACTTATCTTCTTTCAAATATGTCCAACTATTATAAGTGCAAAATATTTAATGCTACTTGATAAACTGCATAAAGTTTATTTTATTCTCAAACTTATTAATAATAATGTTAATTAATTTATGTTTAATAATAATGTGTCCTACTTATGGATCTATTTTATTTTTAGAATGGTATTTCAAAAGTAAAATTCAGGCATAGATAACATTTTTAATTAAATTTATTCAGTTCTTATTTGCTCATAGGTCCTTAATTTTTTTCATTAATGGTCCTTAAAAGTACTTAAAAGTGCTTTTTCCGTGTGCAGAAATGTGTACGAACTCTGTAATACTGAATGTCTAGAATTATAAATAATGAACTAGCAGAATAATCTTATTTCGGAAGCACAGTATAATGATATCATGTCTTTTACCAATTATGTCTAGAATTTAACCAATAAAAATATCTTCCCTATTTCAAGAAAATGTATGCCGATATTCATTTAGGCAAATTCTTACAATTGTGACTTTCCAAATATATAATATTTGAAATCAAAATATTGAAACAAAATTACAGAAGCACATTTAGCAGAGAGCAGCTAATTCCAGGTGTATCCTTGCAGAATTACATGGTCAAATTTCATATTAAACTTTTTCATATTAAATTTAACAATCATAACTTGTAATTTTATTTTATTTTGTGTTATTTCATACACCTACTTTAAATTTTGATTTCTTAGTTATTAAATGTATGTATGATTTTTATATAAATATGCATAATCTAAAACATAAGAATTAAATAAGTTATTAGACTTTTTTTTATTCAAAGATTAAGCTGTGCACTCTTAATGATTTTTAAAATTTTTATTTTCCATAGTAAAAAATAGGTTACCGACTCCAATCTTAAGCATTCAAATAAGAAGGTAGGATTTTTTTAAATGGAATTTCAAATTCTGGAAAAACTGTTCATTTCGCAAAAGAAATTTATAATAAATATTATTTCTATGGTATTTCAAATTAAACTCTTTAATTAAAACTACAACTTTTATTAAACTATTTTCAACTAATTAAACTACTAACTAAAAGGAGTTACATTTCTAAAAAGAAGAATACTATAATATAGTAGTAACATTTCTAAAGAGAAGAATGAATTTCTAACAGATGGAAGACTTATCTCTTAATTGGCAGAACAGTCATATTTTACAATATGAGATGTTAATTTTTTTCAGTGAACCATTAATTTGATTTAGAGCTTCAGAAGTGTGTAGTTCCTCTAGACTAAAAAAATTTTTAATTCTCCATTTTTTTCTAACAGTTTGAATTTTTTTGGTGGATGATGGTACACATATAATTACAAATTTAATGATATTCAAAATGGGAACAGGAAATAAACTTTCCCTAAACTTATATTTTTATTCAGTTTCAGATAACAGAATGAATAAATTTATCTGATAATTGCTGTTTGTATTTTATACTTATTAACATGATGCTACTTTACAAAGCTATTTTAACGATCATAAAGAGCAAGTCCTTCAAATGTGGTCTCAAAATGTAATATGAAATTTAAATATGTATATCAGATATTAATAAGCAATGCTTTTTACATATGGTTATTATTCTAGTGTTGCTAATTTAGCATTTTCAATAATAATGTATATTAAGTCTTCCCTTTGAAAAAACATTTTATTTATATTCCAGTATACTTCCTTTTATTCATTTCTATTTTGTTTAATCATATTCATTTTCGTGCATCTGTAAATAAGGGGGGAAAAAAACTAGCACATTTTCTTAAAATATTCTGTTTTGATACATAAATTAATTTATTTTTGCAATGTACAAAGCTGTGGAAACAAAATTAGATAAAATAATTTGCGCAGGTGTAAATACAAATTGGTATAAAATAATTTTCCATGTGAATAAAGAAAATTAAATAAAAAACTTTTTGAAGAAATCAAATGCAGCTATTAAATTACAGGTAACAGTGAACTCCAGACCATATCTTAAATTGACTTATACAATTTAAAAAAATTTTCACAGCTGTCATATATATAATTTTTAAAACCAATTAACTGATCAACACTAGAAACAAAAACATTCAATACTGCTTGCATTACACACACACACACACACACACACACACACACAAACAAAAAAAAAAAAAAAAAAAAAAAAAAAAAGACTAAAAATGATTACTTCTATAATCATAATATTTATTAGAAAAAAATCAAGATTACAGTGATATAATTTTAAAAAATGAGTGCAGATTCATAAATCATCAAAATATTGATTTTATACTCTTAACTCGTACAAGTTTTATGTCTGGAATGTACAAGTTTTAAAACTTTTTTGAATAACTTGTAAACTGTTCTTTTAAAACAGTAATGCATATCAGTCTCTTGATATCAACTGTATTTTTTCTTAAATATAATATATTAAGCATTATGTCAGATAGGAAAATATTCCTTTCAGGCTTAGTTTTCCTTATTTTTTTCAAAATTACATCAAGTTTTTGACATAGAAATTCCACAAAATTATTTTACTATTATTCAGCATATCTTTTATTGTATTTATTATATTCAACATGTTTTTTATCATTCCCATTTCATATGTTCACCAAACATTACCTATCTTAAGCATTTGCAACAATATAATTGCATAGGTCAAGCAAGCCTAAGAAAAATAAAAAGTTAAGAGTATAAAATAATACATTATATATTTTGCATGAAATGAATATTTTCTTTAAAAAATGTTATTTTAAAAGAAGCGATAGACTCGTATTTTAAAAAATGGCAATATATTACATACAACATGGCACTGAATGCGAGTCAAAAATTATATAAATTGCTCACAATTTTATTTTGTAAATTAATACTGTGGAGCAGACGAAAAATCAGCTTTTAAATATTTTACAAACTGTACAACATTTAATTCATTGCAATATATATAAGAGCTTTCTGTGCTCATGTTTTCCAAACATTAAAATTTATTCGATAGAAGAATTTGAATTGAAATGCAGAATATTAGGGAATGCCTCATAAAATGCCTCCAATGTTATATACATGTATGCTGTTTTTAAGAAGAAAAAGAGCAACAACATTAGTAGCTCTTACACTGATATACCTAACTACTTTACAAACGTTAATTTCATTAAAAAACTACAATTCTGGATAATTTTCAAACTGAATATGCACAAAATATTGTGCTGTCTTTTTTATCCCAACATACAAAAGTAAAATTTCAAATATTTTACTTTTCTGTAATTTCAAAATATGATCCACCATAAAATTCAAAGAAGTACATTTGCTGTTTTTGAGCCACGCTCAATGTAGATAATGAGCTACTAAAAGAATTTGTGATTTTGTCATCCTCACAGACTCATCTTGCAACTAAAAATGAAGTACTTCTCTCCAAGCTGCAGTTTGAAATTTAGTTTAATAGCAAGACTTGTAACATCCATTTATTCATCTGCTGCAGCACCATTTTCATTTGCTTGAGCATCTGAACTTTCTTTTTCTGAAGAATCATAATTTTTTTCTTCTGCAAGGGGAGAAAAGTGTTATTAAAATCACAAAAAGGTAAAATTTCAAAGTATTAGTCTTGTTTTCTTTCAAATTATACAGAGGAGGAAAATCCTAAATATGTGCAAAAGCATTCACTTGCAAAATATTCCATAAATCTGATCACATTTTAAAAATTATTGTAAAATCCACACATTTACACATCAGACTACAATTTGCACTTAAATTGCAGTCTGATATGTAAATTTTGTAGATACTTTTGACCTATTTCAAACTTTCATTGACAAAAAGGCACCTTCAGTTTTGTGAAAATATGCAAGTGACAGCTTAGGATGGATTGCTACATTATTAGTGATAGTCTAATATGCTCACAAATGCAAACAAACACCTGATGACACATCTTCTTAATTTTCTTTTTCCATAGCATGACATCAACAGTGCCATCTATTAATGAAAATCTAAACTAAAATTAGCCCAGAAAGTATTCTTCTGTGATTGAACTTTGTGTGCAGACTGCACTTTGATGTCCTAATGTGTCGCTGCCCAGCTAGCTCACTGCCATACTCATGGCTCGGGTTCTAATCCTACAGGCATGAATTTTTGTAAGCTTATAGTGCTTGTGCAGCATAAGGGTACTCAAAGTACATGGCAAGCCAAACTTACATCTAAAGTACTCAAAATACAGGGCAAGCCAAACTTACATCTAAAATCCTCTTGAGATTGGTAGTAAAGAAAGAAGGGCAGGTGACCCTTGGACAGTCCCCAGGGTGTTTGTTCTCCATCAAAATTGTGACGAAAGCTTAACAGCTAGCTAGATTCAACAATACCTCAATCACATGATATTATAGAGGTGCCGGATTAGATTCTACCTGTACCTGTGCTAATGTGTTGATTTTATATGATTTTTATAAAGTGGCCAGATTTTTAGAATAATCTGTATTTTGAAAATCTAAAACCACGTTGCTTGCATTATGTAAATAATTACAAAAAATTAAAACTTTATAATCTTTCCATACTTTACAATTTACAAACTTTGCAGAATAAATAAAATTATTAACTTGGATAATAATCTACTAATGTTAGATAACAACATACCTGTATGACGTAGAACAAGATATGATAAAATATCAGAGAGTGAGATCATCCCTATCACATTATCTTCATTGTCCACAACAACAAGGCGATGTACCTAAAAGAAATGGTCAAGTATTAACAGTATTGTTTTTCAACATATTATATTAAGAAAAACTTTAAAAAAAAAAAAAAAAACTGCATACCTCTGCTTTTACTATCCTTTCTAAAACAGCAGAAAATGTATCATTTAATGTGCACTTGAGTACACCTTCAAAGTACTGTGGAAAGTAATGAAAATAACATTAATTGCAAATTCATATTATTCTGCTCTTGTACTTCTATTACTCTATAATATTTTGAATGCAGAAAATTTTAAATAAATAAACACTTATGTATATATCTAATTGGAGGTGGGAACCCACCAATGTAAATAAACACACCAATTTTAAATTAATAGCAAACTGCATTTTTGGCACTTTGATGTTAGTTGAAAGGGAGTAAATTTGTCTAGCTCTATACACAATATGTGAAGCCCAGAGACAACATCAGATTCTGACGAATTCCAACTTTGTTCCATCCATTTTTATTACTGTTATCTTCTTACCAAAATTAAAATTTTGGTGAAAGATGATATATCTCTTTTACTCTTTTCTTGAAACTATACATCCATCATTTAGCCAATGAATACTGGAATTTTGCATTTGCTGACATGCAGATAAAAAGTACACTTATCAAAATCAATGCAGCAGTAAGCGTGAGATATATACGTCACTAGAATTAAAATTTTCCCAGCTAATGGTATAAATTACAGATTCTGTTTCCTACTTCAAATCCAAATTAATATTGGTAAACTGCATGTATGCAATATTATTTATTGGCTAAATATGGCCTATGAATAAATATTAGATTGAATAGATATTAAATAAGAGATTTCATTTTCTAAAACAACAGTAAAAATGCAGCAAATATGGTATAATTTAGGGATTTTGCGAGTTTCAGATATTAAATAAAAAATATTAGATTTCGATTTTCTTAAGGGAAAAATTAATGAAAATAAATTTCAAAAAGCACATATCAATATTTTCCTTCTGATTTTTTTTATAAAGAAACATACTGTAATTTTATATAAAAAGAAAGTAAGTGCATAAGCATATAAAAATAATTTTTACATTTCCATTTTGTTTTGTTTCTTCTACCAAAATAAATAGTAAACATGACTTGCCTGAAAATGTTTATGATGAAAATGATTTACCTGGTCTCTGTGCTCAAGAGCTTTCTTCACTGTAATGTCAAGGTTATTATATGTTTTTTCTGCAGCTAAATTCTATTTAAAGGAATAAAAAAAGTATTGAGAAATACATAAATTTTACATTTTTAATTACAGTAAGCATGCAAGCATCTTTTAATCTAGTTAATTAAATATAACATACATATTTAGGCAAATAGTTGAATGTTTAAAATTCATTGTTTTACAAAACATTGGAAAATGCGGGAAAAAACACATAGCAAGAAATATTAGCATTTAACTGATAGAGCTTCAATTTAAAAAAAAAAAAAAAAAAAAAAAAAAGTGGAGAACGAACAAATGTAGAATAGAGTAAGACTGAAAGAATAAGAAAATTACAGACTTCTTCAAAATCAGGCTGTGGCATGTTTTGAATTGAGAAACAAGAAGCCAGATATGGGATAGGTTTTAAAAAAAATTAAAATCTCATATATATATACGTAGCGTATTCGGAAACTAAGTACTGTTTTATTCTAGCGCCGTCGCAGCGCTGTGGTAGGCGTCCCGCGCATGCGCAATAGTTTTTCTTGTTCACTGACTTTCAATTGTCGCCATTTTGGTTGCTCTATGTTGTGTTTTCAGTTTGCTGTGCACATTTAAAATAAGACAATAAGTTTAAGACAATAAGTTTTCCCGCTGATTGCGAGATTCATGCCATGATTAAATTTTTGAATGCGAGGAATGTTAAACCGGCCGAAATTTATCGTCAAGTGACAGAAGTTTACGGTGAATACGCGATAAGTGATGGAATGGTGAGAAAGTGGGTAAGAATGTTTAATGCAGGTCGAACAAATGTCCACGCCGAGGCTCGGAGTGGTCGGCCTTCTGTTGTCACCGATGATTTGGTAAGGAAAGTTGATGAAACAAATTCATGAGAACAGACGCTTCACAATGACAACTCTTTCAGAGGCATTTCCACAAATTTCATGTACTGTTTTGATTGAAATTGTGTCTGACTGCTTGAATTATCACAAATTGTGTTCCCGATGGATTCCAAAAATGCTCACTGATGTTCACAAAACAAAGCGACTTGGTAGTGGCCTGGCATTTCTCACGAGGTACAGTGATGAGGGAGAAAACTTTTTAAACCAAATTGTGACAGGTGATGAAACTTGGGTGTGTCAATTCACAATAGAATCGAAACAACAATCAATGGAGTGGAGACACACTCATTCTCCGAAAAAACAAAAGCTCAAAGTGACAATGTCATCACAAAAAATCATGTGCACTATCTTCTGGTATAGGAAAGGCGTTTTGCTTACTGAATTTCTTCCCAGAGGTGAAACCATTAATGCGGCACGATATTGTGAGACTTTCACAAAACTAAGGCATGCCATTCAAAACAAACGAAGAGGAATGCTCAGTAAAGGAATTGCGTTGCTCCATGACAATGCTCGGCCCCATACTGCTGGTGTCACTCAATCGTTAATTCGACAGTTTCATTGGGAGCAGTTCGATCCCGCCGTCAGCCCGGACTTGGCGCCGTCCGAGTATCACTTGTTCCTGCACATGAAGTGCGAGCTTGGTGGCAAACGCTTTGGATCTGACAATGACACGAAAAATGCTGTGGAGTCGTGGTTATCGAAACTGGCGGGAAGTTTCTTTGACAATGGTATACAAAATGGTATACTGGTCACCCACTATGACAAGCGTTTGATCATTGGGAGAAACTATGTTGAAAAATAGTTTAAGACATGTATTTTCATGTAAAAATAAAATTGGATCCGAAAAAATTGTTTTATTTTTTTTTTTTTTTTATTTTTTTCAAAACAGTACTTAGTTTCCGAATACGCCTTGTATATAAAACCCCGAAAAGCCAAATATATTTTTTTCAGCCTCCAGAAATCTAGTGTTTAGTTTTTGATTACAGTATATGGCAGCAGGTTAAAATAAAAATGCAATTTATCTACCTAACCTTATTTTGGTTCTGTGTGATTATATACGGTATCCTTAAATCTACGAACCCGTTTTAAGGAATCAATACAATTTGCTTATCAGAATGTGGTTTAAAGCTAAAATTTTCTCATTCTATTTTTACGCCAATCAAATGTACCTCTATTCCAAGTCTTTGTATGAAAATTACTCTTTTCGATTTCATATCACTTTTTAAAAACATTTCAGAATTCTAAGATATCTTGTCACAGCGGGGTAACTGGCGGTTTTGTTGCGAGTTGTTTGGGTTGCATGTACAGCTGCAACATTAAATTCAAACACATTTTATTATAAATCTCAATGAGCTTCATATCATAATACTCCTAACAACATCAACAAAAAATTAGTAATTAATATTTTAAATGCACAGAAGCAGTGATTAGATAGCTTCTGAAAGTAAGTATTTGTTTTCACATTGTGCAAAAGTTTTGCTGGCAGCAAAAATTTTTCTGTTTGAGAGTTCAGAGCATTATGTTTTACTTACTCTGTTTGGTACATTTTTCAGATTGAATTAATCATCCTTCTTTGTTTTTTCTGTTTTATTTTATGTCCTCTGATTTGTTACGGTTAAAGAGTATATCAGAGAAGCTGCAGAACTGTTCACCAGTTAAACTTTGATGACAGACACCGTGCAAATTGCTTAAACTCTCCAACACTATTTGTGAAATTATAACTTATGTAATATCAAGTAGCGACATTATTAAACTAGTTATCACTTCTATCATGTCATCTCACACTCCTTAACCCTTTAACTGTCAAGTTATTTTGATGATTTTGGTACACAAATTGTCAAATTTTTTTATTGGAAAAACCAAATGTAGCCGAAATAAACATCTCCCGATATATATTCGGGTATGACAATACGATGCACTCAAAAAGAAAAATTACCCCGAGAAATACTCGGGCGTGACATTTTCGAACACCAGTGCTGTGCCCGCGAGAATCTCGGGCATGACAGTTAAAAGGTTAATGGTTTCACTTTTCTAGTGATACATTTAGATTGCAACTTGTGAGGAAAACACACACGACTTTCTTAATTTTGTGTGATCTCTAGCAATTTACACATTTTATTCAAATTTTCATTACTAGATGGCTGCACTATCACTGCAGATGAAAGCTCATAATTAATCAGAAGTATTCTAATACGCTTACGTACGTAAACGTAAAAATGTTGCATAACCTTAAATTTTCTCATTCTATTTTTATGCCAATAAAATCTGCCTCTATTCTAAATCTTTGTGTGAAAATTACTCTTTTCGATTTCATATCACTTTTTAAAAAAATTTCAGAATTATAAGATATCTTGTATGTATACCTATATATAGAAAAAGCTCAGATAATCTGATCAAACTATATGAAAAAGGTTTTTTTTGGAGGGGGGAGAGGCCACATTTAAAAGAAATATTTCTTTTTCTTTCGTGTGAACACATAAGAAGAAATTATACTTTTGACATCAAACTCTGATAAAGAAGTAAGGCTGATAAGTTTCACTGTGGAACATTTCTAGAATTTCTTCAGAGTTAAGGGTTCTTGAAAAAGCTGAATTTGACCCTAAACCTATTATAGGGGATTTTTTTTTTTTTTTAACTATGACTGTTTCAAAATTAAATCAAAGAAGACTTCATCAATCTAAATATTGGTATGAGACTTCTTCATTGCAATAAAATAATTTAATTTTAAAATGATGATGTAAATCACAAATTTACAAATATAAAAATTTTCATTACACAAATATTTATCGACTTTACTTTTTGGTTGAAAATTGATCCAGTCATTTTCACTTTGATTTTGCATCTACAGAAATTTTTTTATCAACTATCATCATTACCAACTGTTACACAACTTCTTAATGTTTATGTAAATATAATATATAGTAAATATAAACATTGTCTTCCATTGAAACCATAACTTGAAAAATAAATAAAAATAATAACACAAAAGACTGAAACTTAACATAATAATTTTAAATATGCTTTTTACAATTAAGCAAGTAAATAGTTTATTTGGTATATTAATATTTTAATTAAAACAAGTATGTCTTATTAAAGATCAATATTGAAAATACATCACTTAACTTTTCCTCACCTAAATTTGCATGAATACACAAAAACCTGAAATAATACAGTAGAACTTTGGTTCACAAATTGCCTTGGATCATGAATAAATAGGCTCCCAAACAAATTTTTCAAAAAAAAAAAAAAAAAAAAAAAAATGTCTTGGATGATGTGTCTTAAGATATGAACAAGTAAGCCAGCAACAAATTACACTCCAAAAATGCAGTTAATGCAGTAGAAGAGATATCTTAAGATAACAGAAAGGAAAATGTTCCTGGTTATCTGATCTGTGAAATTTCAGCAAAATGGGGTAAAGTGCAAAGGATCATAGAATATCATTGCCCTGACAAAGTATGCAGTGATAAATATTTTCAATGACAATGCTATGTCTTGCTTTGGGAACATTTTTAAACATAGAGAGGAAAAAAAAAAAAAAAAACTGTACAAATTTTTAATTTAATTAGTTCTTAAGTAGAGGTGAGCGGTGTTAAGGGGGAGGGACCTGAAAGATAGTAGCTACCTGATATTTTAAAGGAATAGTGTTCTACTTTCAAACAATAATATTTTGCCTCTTTGTCTTGTTCAGTGTTTTCTAGTTACACTATCAACTTTCCTCCAGAGATACGGTAAATTTAATTCAATTTACTTTAAGTTTTTCCATTTTTAATATATTTAGTATTGTGTTAAATACTATGTTAATATTGTTTATATATTAGATTTAATAAATTATATTGATTTTGAACTAAGAATTTGCATACAAAGTACTTTTTTCTAAGCAATCTCTTAGGATCCAAAAACAAATTAATTCATTTTACATTAATTCCTATAAAAAATTGTTTCAGTTTACAAATATTTTGAACGACAAGCTATCTTTAGGAATGAATTAAGTTTGTAACCAAGCATTTCCCGTATTTAAAAACTAGACAATTTATGTTTCACTATGCCATGTGTTGAAAAGGAATTGCAAAGAAAATTGTATTTTGCATAACTTAGTCCTGAAATAAGTTTCATCATACACTCAGGGAAAAAGAATTCACATTATGATAACTAAAAACACTTTTATAACATAATATAACAACACATAATAAAATTTTAAAGCTCATTTAAATAAAGTTGAATGGATGTACTTACACAAAAACAATAGCATGAGTTAATTACATTCATTATCATCTGCATGGAAATATTTCATGATATCAATATCATCCTATTATCATTAGTTTATGTATTTTGTGATTAAAAAATATAAGAAGAACTATAAAAATAAATAAATAGCCAATCAAGAAAATAATTTGGATTTAAAAAAGCAAGATGAAAATTTAGTCCATCTTAAGTAACTCTAGCATATCAAAATATACATACAAGTTTCCTGGAAGAAATCCTAGTTGTCACTATAATAATCTTTTATTTTTTAAAATTCATTTTCAATGATTAGTCCAATTTAAATTTTCTTTTATTATTTTCATCAAAAGGTAATAAAAGTAAAATTTACCTCTGTTATATATGGGACATGCTATTGAAGAGCAAAATCCTTTATTGTATCAAAAGGCAAGTGCAGTTATTTCAGAAAAATGTACCTAACAACTACATGGAGTATGGATGTAAGCCGGTGTAACCAAAGTGGTTGCATTTAGGAGCAGCAAAAAATTTTTAAAGGCTGGTAGATTATAGGAGCCACAGGGACAGCACCGGCAGCAGAAAGCCTAGTCCTACAACTATGCACTATGTTTCTCCGATGGTAAGAGCAATTGACTTCTTTGTATATCAATAACATTTGTCTTCAATTTACATGAGAGTTTTCATACTGCTGAAAATAATTTTATGCACAGTTAAACTCCTGAAAATACTTACAATCACATCAAATTTTGCATATATATCTACAACTTTCCCCTGATCATCAACCACAGGTAAAGCAGAAACACGTCTGTCCACAAACTCATTCAGTGCTGTAATGACAGGAGTGCTAGTTTTAGCCTAAAAAAAATTAAAATATGATATGAAAAAAATTAAAAATGCCCCTAAAATACATTCAAAAATAACAAAAGAATTATAAAGTGAATGATTATGACATGAATTCATAACTTACAGTAATTCACAAATGAAAATCAATGAAATCGCAATGTAGAGTAGAATATTTTATCCATATTTGTGATAACCATCATATGCTTTAACTACCATATATTTTCGACAATAAGCTGAGCGTGCATTTATTCTTCAAACATTTACCCAAAATTCAAAACCTTTATATAAGGGAAAAACAAAAAATATTGTCATATTCAAACCTGTTGTCATGAGGGGGAAAATATTGCTAAGCGATGAAATATTTTCCAACCAAATTGCTGTAAAGTAAAACGCCAGGTGCCAACTCGGGTAGTTTTAACTTGGGTAGGTTACCTATCTAAAGCTAGCACACTTTTCCCATTCATTTGTTGTCTTGTATATGATCTGTGGTATCTGTGCTAGTCTTATTTTCTGTGCCATTTAATTTTTTGTCTGAAAGATGAGCAGGAAAAGAAATTCTTATATGACAAATATTAAACTCAGGTAATTGCATTTGCTGAAAATTCTAACAGCAGTATGGCTGCTCAGAATTTCTCTATTAGTAGAAAACAAGTTTGAGAGGAAAGGAAAAAATACTTTGAATTAGACAAGATACCAAAATCAAAAAAGGAGCATGAAGAGAAAATGACTTCAAGTTCCTTTTTTGATGAGCTGAGAGCAAATTTCCGTAACTTCAGATTTTTCATTTTGTCGACAATGCAACAAACCATCAAATTACCTAGTTCTGAAAATAAAACAACTCTTCATAAACCAAATAACACAATTTCATTTAAAATACATTTTTTTCATAAATCTAAAGAATTTAAAAATGCCATATTTGTCGATTTATCACTTGTGCCTGGCTAACAGATATGTATCTGTATTTTTTCAGTATTCATATATAATCTGTATATAAGCCATACATAAATGGATTCCTACATAAGTTGACCCCCATAATTTAGCTTTAGGAAAAGTTCTTAACATTCTCCGCTTATACACAGAAATATATACTAGCAGCCATATTTTCATCAAGCTATTTCTAAATGAGATTTCTGTTGAAAAGTTTAAGAAAAGTATAGTCCACATTGTATTTGAGACAACATACCATTTAGCGTAGAAAGCAAATTTAAAAAAGAATGCTTCTAATCATAGTTTTGAAAGTGATAGAGATGACATCTTAATTAGCAGTCATTACCTGTGCCTCTCAGATTATAACCACTTCACGTACATAATATTTTTCAGAGGTTATGATATTTTTAACACATTTTCTGTTATTTTTAAAATAAACTTCATTTTTTCAGACAACAGATTTCATGCCTTAGCAATATAAAAAGTACTACCACTTCAGAGTTTAAACTTTGGTAGAGGCTATGTGTAAAATAACATAAATGAAATAAACAATTATGTTAGAAAAGACATCAAATTCCTTTCTACTAAATGTGAAAAAAATTAAGCTACAAAGGCAAGAAACTGATGCATAAGCAGTGTATTATGCATTAATTTCCTATGGCTGTCATGCCTGGGAACATATTCTTGCAAAGATTATTAACAAAAGAAATCTGAGTAACATTCAACTGAGAATTCTTCGTATTGGGTCACATAAAAAGTCTCCGCACTTTTTTGGTACATTTTTTAACAAAAATTTTCTTTATTGAAAATCAGTTTTAATCAACTACATATTGACCATTATTATCTATGACCTTTGCCCATTTTTCGGGTAGCTTCATAATCCCATCGTTGTAGAACGTCTGTGGTTTATCATAGAAAAACGTGGCCAAGGAATTTTCAGCAGCACTTCAGTCAGCCAATTTTTTGCCATCAAGAGAGTTTTGCAGAGACTGAAACAAATGACAGTCAGATGGTGCAAAGTCCGGGCTTCCCAATCAAAACTTCCCAACCAAGTTTCATCAGTTTGCTCCGAGTCATCAAAAATGTATATAGCCACACATTGTCTTCATGAAACACAACCCCTTTACTGTTGGACAAGTCTGGTTACCCTTTCTGGACTGCTTCATTCAAACAGTCAACTTGAGTGCAGTACAGGGCCGAATTGATCATTTTGCCAGGTTGCATCGGGTCATTATGGACAATTCCCTTCCAATCTCAACATCAAAATTTCAGGAATGGAATCAAGCAAACCACTGCTGGGTCCTTCATTCAATCAGAGCATTCTCACTGTACACTTTACAAAATTTTCGGCTTGTTTTTGAAGCGTTTTTACCTTTTTTATAGAAAAAAAAGCATCACATATTGTATTTCTTTAGATATTTCCCTCATTTTCAAATCAATATAACTTTTGACACAACCAACAAATTAGAAAACTATCTTCACAAACAATGAAAGCTGAATGTCACTTTTTAAGCACATGATCGTTTGAGACAATCAGGTGAGTGCTGCCATATGTATAGACATCAATACCATCTAGTGGCAAAAAAACACAGACTTTTTATATGACCCAATATTATTCGCAGTTACAGAACACTAAGTTATGACGCTACTTTTGTTCTTGCAAGTGTTCTTCCTATTGATTTCGAAACTGAATTGAAGAATAATATTTTTGAGGCATTGGCAATTGATACTTTAGAAGACTTCATTAATGGAAATGTGCTCTTCCCCGATATTTTTTATCCAGATAAATATCTGCACTATAAAGAGACTACTGAAAAGTATTTTCATATAGTTTCCTTTACAGATGGCAATAAAATAAACAGTAAGGTTAGTCTAGCATCTGTTCTTTTTGAAGACCAATCTGAGGTTTGCTAATTTCGTATTTGTCTAAAACTGTATTCAAAATGAATGCACAGTTTCTCAAGCAGAACTTCTCTGCAATTATCTTGTCATCAAGTGGATCAAGTATAATGGGACAGCATCCTCAAAGTAGCTCATATGTTCCAATTCTCTTTTATATCTTCACCTTTGAAACAGTTTAACTAGCAGCAACAAACTAGTAATAAAAACTCTGTTAGCTGTTAGTTCAAACAGAAATGGGAATTGATATCCATTTTGTTTATGTGCACGGTCATCGTAGATTCTATGAAAATGAAAAAGTTATTTCTTAGCTAAAGATGCTTTAAATCTACCCATTGATATCAATATTAGCATTCCAAAGAGTTATTTGGAAGTTCTTTTATTATGACAAGTTTTAATCTAAATGGAATGAATATATTTCATCTTATAATTCTCAGGGCACAAAAAATTCCTTTCCTTCTACTTACCATAAAACTCATTCCGAGTCTTTCTTCTTCATTAATTTTAAAATAGCTCATTTTTTATCTGGTCACAATAAATTTGCAAGTTACCTGTTTTATTTCAATCCAAGATAATTTATGCGAGTGTCAAAAAATGTACTTCAAGATGTGGAACGTTTAATATTTTTCTGTCCTGCCTTTGATGGCCTTAGATTATGCTTGCAGAAGGACTTGGAAAAAACTTGGCATGACTTGGCTAATCAACTTACTTATTTTTGTGAAGTTCAGACTGCTGTTCTCTGTTTTAATTCATTTTGTTTATGCGTGTAATATTTAATGCTTTAATTAACTTACTTTTTTCAAGCCCCTGCCAATTTGTACATTTGTGATGCACAGGGAGCTTGTAAAAAAGGAGGAATTGTGGTATAAATATGTAACTGAAAAAACTGTACCATGACCAATTAACATTAACTGCTACCTCAAGCAAACATAAAATGAATTAGAAGAATTTATTTGAACTATGCTAAAAATAATTGATGGAGATAGATGGTTAACCTTTTTCTCTTCTAATACAAGATCTATAAGACTTCTGATTCTGAACTATTACATTAACATTAAAATTAGGCTTTTAATGATGTATGAGAAAAATAATTTTCAATAATGCAATGCAAAATTCTGCATTGTTTTTAAAATTTTAATCATGTAATGCAGGATTCTCTATTAATTGGTATAAAGTGGAACCTTGATCTATCATTCTTCAAGGGAGTGGAAGATAAAATGATGAATGCTGGTAAATGATTAATCCCGGTTGCAGACACTTAGCCAACAAGACATTTAGCCAACAGGGACACTTAGCCGACATGACACTTAGCTGACAAGGACAGTTAGCCGACAGGACACTTAGGCGACACGGACACTTAGCCGACAGGACACTTATCATTTTGTGATAAGTGACACTATCTATCTGTGCAAAACAAAATTACTTTCTTGTCAACCCAATAATATATAAACTAATAAAATAAATATATGAATATTTTACACATATATTGTGTTATGTAATTAGTCATAACTTACTTAATGCATGAACTTACTTAATGCATGAACACATTAATTTAAAAAATAAATTAGAACTTAATTTGTTGCTCCTTGATTTACTATGATTTTATCTATTGCATTTATTTATATTTTCCTATTAATTAAAAAATTATCATCATTTTACTTACTGTAGCTATTTGATCATAGGTACCAATTTTCAGATCACCTAATTTTTTATTCATATAACTTGGATGAGGCAATTCATGGTACTGGGGGGGGGAAATACATAAAATTAACACTTTTTGTACATATATACAGATTAAAAATAAATCATCACCTTTAAATAATAATAAATTATAACATGTATATTCAAATTAAATGTTTTAATATTAGGGTTAACAGAAAAGTGCAATCGAACAAACATTTCAAAGCATAATTACAATTTAGAGTGTATTACACTTGTCTTGTTTCTAATACTTTTGTGTCCTTATTAAGAATGAAAAAGCCTAAAACTGAGATGGTGTGTTTTATATATATATATATCCCCCCTTTTAGCTTGGTGCTTGAGAAATTCAGTACACTGTGAATTTACATAAGCCACAGGACTGAGAAATAACCCACGTATATGAATTTTATCACATCAGTAGCAAAATATAAGTAAAGATAACAGCTATCAAAAGCATAACAACCAAAATTTCTTTAATGTTTTACAAAACATTACGACTCTACAGAATCAACAATGATTATTTGCCATAAATGGGCATTACTAATATGCTTAATAAATACACTAACTCTCCATTTCTACTAAATAACTAACTCTTCATTCCTACTGAAAATGCATATATAGAAAAAGAATCATCTTCATATTTCAAAACAGTTAAAACAGCATTTAGATACAAAAAGAGCATTTGTGACTTAAATATTGTGGAGAATCTATAAGAAGACTGTTTCCAGATGATTTTGATCTATGGAGGCAATAGTGTTAAACATGTCTACTGGCAACATTCAATACAATTAAATTATGTTCTCAGAAATACTTCATCACTTTGCGAATTCCTCACAACAAAAGATTTAATTCTAAAATGCAACAACCTTCTCAGTGCCTCTTGTCCACATTCTGACTGCATGAGAAAAGAAATCGATAATGTAATGTAAAAATTTAAAACAATTTGTTTTCAAATTTTTGTATATTGTTTAAATTACTAATATAAGAAAACTTGTTTGTTCATTCTAAAATGATATATTTATTTTAAACAGCACACTTTTAGATAATCTATGAAAGTCACTTTTAACAGTTAAAAATAAAAATGTATAATACTAATATATAGAAATATGTATTATATTTACATTATTTAAAATAATGAGTTCACTAGGCAAAGAAAATTGCATCCTCTCAAAATAGAAAGAGTTGTCAAAACAGAAAAGCCTTCTTTATGAAATATGAAGTTCCTTGTTTGTTTATCAGACATAAATTTTTCGTACATTTGCCATTTTCAATAAATAAGCTCACCAATATGGTCTTTAATCAAGATTTCGAAAACTGAAATTTCTGTGGCCATGGTGAACCTTATCCAGCCCAAGCAGATGACTGCCATTTTGTCTCAGATCATAAGAAAATCACCAAGTTTTCTTTTCAGTCCCAATTTGTTTTTTAAAAATCAGGAACAATTCCTGCTTTACAGCAAAACTGTATTTCTATTCTTTGCTCAGTTTGACAGCATGGAATTTCAATTATGATGACATTTTTCTTTACACTGAAAGCTATTAATAAATCTCATGATTGATGGACAAAAGCTGTATAAAAATTAACAGAAAATTATTTCCAATAATACAAAAAATATGTAGAATTTTCATGAAAGAGATTGTTTTAAGGTTATTCACTGCCAAAGCAAACAATATTATTTCCTGTGGATGTAAAATAAAACATGATCTTAAAAATTTTATGCATTTCATATGTAACAAGCTAAGCTTATCATATTCCTACACAAAACTAAGAAAGGCATTCAAAAGCATGTATGTGACACACATCATAAAATGCAAAAACTGGCTCTCAGCACACTCAGGGAAAATACAGAAAAATATGTTGGTAACTAAAAGTTGTTTAAACTTTTCAGCCTGAATAAAATTTCAATTGATACTAAAGTAATATGAAGCATAATTGACTGCCAAGGTTGGACATACTCTGCACAAATTATATATGAAAATTTTACAAGTACAGCATTCCAATGATTCATTGCTTGTTTGGTTTGGTTTAGTTCATTATGGCAAAGCAAACTAAGGCTACCTGCCTACCTAAGGGAAAGAATGCCTTTGTGGAAAACATTCTTAAAAAAACTGACTCATATACATGTTGCACATGGTGAAAATCACAAAATTATCCATGCAGCCAGCCCATTCGCCTGGATTCAAACCCACGTTGAAACTATCAGTATTCAGCAATTTTACTGCTCTGATGTTGGTAGGCCTGATTCTTTGCTTGTACAGCTCAACACAAAAGCTTTGAAGACATATTTTTAATACCAACCTATTACTATTTTTAGGTTTGTCTGTTAAGGTGTAGTTGATAACTTAAAGAGGTTTAAGCAGTAAACACATTTACTTAACAAATGCAACATATTACTAAATATTTAACACAATATGCAAACTATACATGATTGTATTTTCTTATTCTTTTCAAGACTGATTGAGAAAAGGATGTAATTAACACTACTTACATAGAGGAAAAGGAACTTCAGGATTCGTTTATGAGTGATCACATACAGGACATTTCCAGTACAAGGATCTATCACAGGTAATCGATGCACTTTATTTTGTATTAAAGTTTTAATGGCATCTAATAAGCTAAAGAAAAACGATAAAATAAATAACAGATATCTGCATATTTTTAAAGAAAGTTTTGCAGTGTAATTACAATTAGACCCAGCTCCAGCATTTTTTGGTGACTTAAATGATCAAATTGACACCTTATATAATAAACTACTCGTATATTAATAATTAAAATCAAAATTGACCTTTATTTAGAAATCATTACAGAGCTCGTACACATTTCTGCACATGGAAATTAAGTACTTTTCAGGACGATTAATGAAAAAAATTAAAGACCTATCAGCAAATGGGAACTGAATAAATTCAATTAAAAATATTATGTATGACTGAACTTCACTTTTGTAATACCATCTTAAGAATGAAATAGAGCCTAAGTAGGATGCATTATTATAATTTAATAAACATAATTATAAAACAAATTTGAGAATAAAATCAACTTTAAAAAATTTATCAAGTAAATATTTTACACTTATAATAACTGGACATATTTGGAAGAATATTAGTGACATTTTATTTATGGTTTACTAACATAGCTTTATGCTGATTTTTTCTTTCATGTCTCAATTTGTCATGTACTTTCTCAATCTAGAGATTTAGTAAATAGCATAGGTTAAAATGCGAAGTAAAATCATAACCAGCATGATTCATAACAAAAGACTGATTGTTGCTACCACTGCTGCTTATATAGAGAGAGGATCTTGCTGATCAGAACAAACCTGAAAGCATGATGTAGGCACAGTTGGCAAGTTCTGAAAGTTAGTTGTGCTCTGTCTGTCTCATGTAGTTCGCGTCATAGCTTCGTGTAGAGTTTATACTAGCCCAGTTAATATACTCTAAGAATCCAGTTAATAAGCCACTAAAGCCCCAGAAGTGATAAGTTGCTTTGTATTATCTTAAATCTCACTAGATGCAAAGTTTTACATTAATTTTACATTTTTGTGCTATATCTTGTGACCAGAGTAATGAAATCTTCTTAATGAAATGCAATAACCCACTTTAATATGCAGAGATAGTTTTTAAAGGTGAGCAGTTAGTTACAAATAATTAAATTAGGTAGTTTGATACAGTTAGTCATTATAGATTTACATGGCCACTACTAAATTAAAACTTGTTTTTAAAAAATATTTGTTAAAAAAAGCACTATAAAATAATCTAATAACATTTCACAGTTTTAAATACATATAATTTATGACAATGATTCTTAAACTATACTTGGAATGTTTTGTAGCAACAACATACAACAAATATTTTATGCTTCTTTTTAATTTGAAGCCTTCCCAGACATTTTGTATAATTTATACAGAAGCGTAGCTGGGTTTTCAGCGCCCGGGGACAACTGAAGATTTTGTGCCCCTTTCTCTGTGCCGAGAACGGAAAACATTTCATTCTAAAATTTCATAACATCAATTTGGCGCCCCCTGAATGCTGCGCCTGGGGACAGATGTCCCTCCTTGCCCCACCCTAGCTACGCCACTGAATTTATACCAATCTCCTCCTTTTAAGCCTCTTTTCTAACAATTAGAAATTTGTTTCAATACACAAACCAATGTTCTCATCAATTTATGTGTGCTTCCTCTCCTAGCTTGACAGTCTTTCAACAATGTAACAGTGAGGTTTTACTTGATCTGGTAAAAGGTAAAAAGTCCAAAACTCCTAGAAACATAAACAAACTATCACTGTGTCTGAAAGTAACTACAAAGTCAGAAAAAGGTTTAGTTTGGTTTGGTTTATGTGATTACAGCTAAGCCTCAAGGGCTATCTGCCTAAAGGGATGGATGCCTTCGTGGAAGACTTTTTAAGGAAGACTGGCTCATATACACGTTACACATCAGATAAAGGCTTAAATAAACCTCTTATCAAAAAGAATACAGAACATAAAGGCATGTTCTTATGCTAACAAAATCAACTACAGCTAGTGGTGATGTAATTAAACAGGAACAGTCAAATTCAAACTAAAAATGTGAACTAGTAGTCAAGGACTACAAAATTTAATTTTAATCTAAGCTTGCACAGCAACTCCATCTTCATAACAAATTCAAATGTTGGCTGCAATAATGCAAAAATGAATAATTACAAATTATCAGTGCTGGCAGAAACTAATGCAGTGCAGGCTAGTGTGCAAGTGGAGGCTAGAAGCATACTCTGTCTTACAATCCCCAAACCTCATTTTAAAAACTATCTAACTGATTTGCATTCTGGTGAGAAAATGAAAAGGGAAGTTATAGTAAAGTCTGAAATTATAAACAACTGGTTAATTTACATAATAACAACTGTACATATCTTTGAAGAATAATTTTCTTTCTTTTTATGTATTCAGTTCCTTTCTTCAATATGTTTCCTCTTCATTTTAGAATTTTTGGATTTAATTAAAGATTTCTGTTATTATAAAAAACTAAACGCATTCAGAAAAAGCTGCTAATTTTATTTCTTTTGTAATATGGACATTCAGAATAAATATGAAATAATATATGGTAAGGGCTGGCTATAGAGCCAATGTGGTGACACATAGAGCAACAAAATCTAGAAACGGTAAAATTTTTAGAATTAAGAACAGGCACTGGAAGCAGAATTTAGGAAGGCTCTAGGCAGCAGAATTTAGGATCCACAGACATTGCTTCAGATAGGAAAATACCTAGCGCCAGCCCTTGTATGATACAGTGAGACATAAAAGATGAATCCTTTAAACTGTCAGTTTTCAATTTTTTTATTAATAGAAAAATTGCTTTCTATAAATGCCTGTCCATGTGATAAGATTAGAAGCATTTTTAATATTTTCCATGCTAGTGTAAAGGAGAAAAAATAAAGGGAAGATAAGCATGTTAAGAAAAAACTTCTAGTAGCAGAAGTAAAACATTCAAATATTTGTTGTTCTTGCAAAAATTATCCTAAAAGTAAGAAATTAACCACAAACTTTTTTATAAAATACATCCATTACGTGTTAATATCATGAAGATATTTTTCCTTTTGTCACACTTTTCTGGAAATCTTTTAGAATCTTTCTAAACTTTCCAAGTTTGGAATTCTAAAATGCTAAAGAAAAATTACCTCTATCAATTCTGTAATAGCAAAAAGCCAGAAATATTTTGGGGAAAAAAAAAATCAGGGGAAAAAGGTGTAAAATTAATTTTATGGAGGAAACTGATGCATATTCTAAGAATTCTGAATAATCACAGGAAAAACCCTTACCATAAAAAAATTAAAAAGAAGATATTTTTAATTAATTACATAGCTATTTTGCTTTTGATAAGAATTGTTTTCTAAATTGTGCTTTATAGTATTTATTACCTTATTTTTTTTCAGTTTATTCAAAATACTGTATAAATGTTGCCAAAATGGAAAGTAATTTAATAATATATAATGAAAACTAAAAATGTTTTATTTTAATGTTATTTTCTTATTTATAATTTCAATATATTACCATTATTTTAATGAAATTTATCAATGTTATAATATTTTTTAAAAAAAGTTGTAGACAAATTTCCAGATCTCTGAATTAAAAATTTTCTATAAAAATTGATTTTAAAAATCTCCAAAATGTTGATAAGTCGCCAAATTTAGAACCGTTTAATAAAACAATTCACATCCCCAAAAGCAAAAAGTTGTTTAAGAATTCTTCACTAAAAAAATGAAATAACTTCGAAATGCTTCTTCACTTCGTGCCCAGAAACTCGAGCATCCCACTTATATTAGAAATACGAACAAATTATAACCCATGAGCTCATTAAAAAGATAATCAATGTGTGTGTGTATTTAATTACGCCAAAGCACACTAGGGCTATCTGCCTAAGGGGAGGGATGTCTTCGTGGAGGATTTTCTAAGGGAAACTGGCTCGTATACACGTTACACATAGGGAAAACCATGAAAACCCCATGCAGCCAGCCCGTTCACAGGATTCAAACCTCGGACCGAACTACCAGTGTTCAGAGACTTTACCGCTCGGCCGCTGGTGGGCCAAAAGATAATCAATGAATCGCCAAAAATATTCCTTCAGAATACTAATTCACACTCAAAATGGCAGCCGAAGAAACAGATAGAAATTTCAGATAATTAAAATTAAGGACTTGCTGACCATTTTGACTGAAATTAAGGATTTTAAAGGACCAAAAAACGATTCTAAAAAAACCTAAGAACTTTAAGGACTCTTAAAGACCATACGAACCCTGTATCAAAAGCAAAAATAAGTTACCCAGTGTTCTCCAAAAATCTGTGCAATAAGCAGCTCCCTATGTCACCTATGCTTGGAGCTGGCCCTGATAAGACTCGTATTTATTTTGTGTAAAATCCATAAAACATTTTAAAATCACCGTAAAATTTTTAATTTTACTTTTTATGAAAATATTTACGACAAACTCAAGTAACTTATGACAGAAAACTTTATGAAATACAATATCACAATAGTTAACAAAATTTATTAATTATATAGCATTTAATCTTAAGTTACATTATTAATAACTGACTTAGGTAAGGTAGTCAGTTGGTAAGCTTTGAAAACTCATCATATATTTAATTAATAAAAGTATTTTATTATTACATACTTTGCCTTATGCTATGTGTTTTTTTTTTGTAAGACAGGTGAAATATATGTAATCTAATAACAGAGTTACCACCTGAAACCTAAAATTATAAAATTATCTCCTAGTCCTGTATTTTTCACAACTTTTACAGAACTATATCCTGTAATTAATTTAGAATCCAACAGTAAATTTCACTGCCACAAAGCATGGTTTAAATATTTCAAAACGCAGGGTAAAATCTTAATGTTTGCCAAAGATATATGTAACATAATGAGTTTGAATATCGTTGACATTACTTCTAATTTTTTTGCTTATTTTATAAACACTATTGTTGAAAAGTTAGATGAGTTGTTTACGCATGATTCCCACAATCATTTCTTGGTTAAAATAATTTCAAGAATTTTGACATTGTGGTCTAAAGTCAATATAATAAATTGAATACTGTGGGACAAAATACATGTAATTTGCTTTCAATATTTGCAAGGATTGTGTAAGTACTATATATTTGTAATTATGGTATTATTCAATTTGGCAACAGAGTAAAAATTTACAAATGAATGCAGAAAATTCAGATAAGCACATTAAATCTGTTAAACTCTGCATGTGTGTTTTTCATAAAATAATTGAGGTGTTTTTAATGCATGCAAAACAATAAAATAAATTTGCCTGTAGTGATGAATTTCAAAGGCCAAGTCAAAATCATTTCATGAATTCAATACTTCAAAAGAATTTAATATCATAAAACGCCTTGGCACACGATGAATTGGAAGTTGATCTGTCAGCACTATCCTGTCAGCAGATGTTTTTATTTTATTTGGCTTATAATTCCTTACTAAATGTAGTATTTCATCTCGATGTACTCCGTCTTCGATATGATTTAAATCAAATTCCTCGTCATTATAATTCGCTTCCGATAGCGAAGAAAGTGACACAAATGTTACTGAAAACGAAAAAATTTCGATTGACAAATTAATCGGTATTCTTGACACAGCAATTATAGGACTTGAAAAGCGGAACTTTGTAACTGAACAAGAAATTATGTCTGTTTATAGAATTAAAGAGAAAGTATTATCACATAAAAAATAAGCAACTTATAAACAACTTGCATTGAAAGAAATGTTTAATAAAGTAAACAAATACATATTAAGCTTTTTTTTTTTTTTTTTTTTTTTTGTAAATTCTGATACCCTTTAGATCATAATTGGTCTTTATTTCATAAATTACGGTTTCATATTTTTAATTTTATAATTTCTGCATGCCATCTTACCAGATTTAAACTGATGATTTATAATCCGGAAAAATTGATAATCCGAAATCGAAGTCCCGACGAGTCCGGATTAATGACTTTTGACTTTCAAAATTAAAGTTAGTGACCTAAAACTTCAACAGTATATTACATCACAAGTGAAGAAACTGATAGTTTCACTCACGTGTGTCAGATCTGTGCAATGCTTATGGAGGGTCCCCCAAAATTTTCGTAAATATTATGGGTCCCTACACCAAAAAGTTTAAGAAACCTTGACCTAAAGCATAAGTTATTTTGAATATGTTTTGCAAAATATACGTGAAATTTTTATTGAAATGAAAAGGTCTTTATACTATTCAAAAACTAATAAATTATTCAAAAAGTTTATATGTGTGGAATCTCCCGCGTCTATAAAGTCATTCTTAAAAAAAAAAAAAAAAGTAGACATTCAAGCCAGTGTCTGCGATAGGCATGCCAAAACTTGCAGCACTTTCCCTTTCTCGCCAAGATGGAAAAGTTGGTGATTCAGCCTCGTATATACAAGCCTTAGCTAATGCAAATGAAGAACTGATGTTGTATCCCTACTACTTTATCACTCCAAAGAGTGTCATAACTCTTAACTTTATCACTCTTAAGAGAGTCATAAATTTTAACCAAAATGTTTTCAAATCAAGGTAGCCTGTTTTGCAGACTACCTTGATTTGAAAAAGTCCAACCAAAATACTTAGCTCATAAACAGTTTTTAGAGAATGGAGAGTGGAATCTTTTTGTCTGGGCCTGGCTCCACTTTGAGGGTCTAGGTGATAATTGCAAATGATGCCCCATATCAATTAAACACACGAATTCAAAGTTTAACACACCTTTGTTTAAATGTTTGTTCTGAGAACAATTTCACTTGTACCTCAAAAATAAATCGAGGTAAACAGAGTGGCATATCAGTTTACTGACAGTTTAGTGCACTACTATCAGGACCAACTTCAGAGAATTTCTCGAAACAGTCAAAGGCAGATATGCAAGAAAGTCAGGACAGCAAAGTCTTTTACTTTCAATAAAAGACTAGAAAGATTCATCTGAACTGAAAGAAAAGACTTTCAGTCTATATACCAATTCTGAAAGAAATTATTGTGATTATATTTATTATATACTCCATCAAAATTGGAGGCATAACTGAACAAAATCGTACTGTCACCTATATGGTGCTGAAGGCCAACAGCAGACACAATCTTGCACTCCTTGCCACAATGAATTTTATGGGATGTTCTGATGTTACTATCAAACATGCGAGATGAGTCACAACAACTCATATACACAGTACATATAAATATTTTTATAACAAATAAATAAGCACATTCCCAGTGGGTTTTTAATAATCTGTGATATTTTTTCCAGTGTTCTGCAATTTAGGTCTACCTTTAAATTGTAAAATTATTCACTTATTACGTAACAAAAATAACACTCCAAATAATGAATGCCATCATACTCAATGGCTTGGATTTATTATGTGAGCCTCTTAACTCAGCAGCACAGCCAGCCTTGGCTACTCTCCTATAAGTTTGAGATGAATCACATAGTATGAATAGCATCATTCTGAACAGTCGCAAGATGTCCTACACCAGGCATGTCAGCGCCAACTAATGTCCTATGCTGGAATGCCAATATAGCGGTTAGTGACACTGATTGCTGTACCAATGGGCCAAGATTCGAATCACACAGAAAACACAGGTATTTTTTTGTAAGCATTAGATGTCTGTGCGACAAGAGCACATTTAAAATACATGACGAACCAAAAGTCGTTTTAAGTGGTTAATGGTAGGAGAAGAGGGGTGGGGAATCCTTGAACTGCCCCTTTCACCAGGGAGTTCTCTGTCAAAATTGGGGCATAACTGCACAGCTAGTGCAAAGAGATTATACTTATATGACCAGTGGTGAAATTCTAGTGTCCCTTCCACTTCTATCTACAACTTATGTATCAACTTTAATACAGTTCTGCATAGCACAGCTTATTCATTTAAAGCTTCCACAAAATCTATGTAACATTCCCTAGCTTTCTTTAGAACAGATCATTGTTATTTTGAAGTAGAAATGCTGCTTCAACTAACATACAAACATTTTCAGTGATGGTTCAATCCATATTCCTCCTTGTATGTATCTGCTTTCGTAATCCTGAAGTGTTAATGTCACCTTGTGACATCTATAGAAAGCAGGGATTTATAGTGGACTGAGACTTGGGTTTAACTTTCCATTAACTTCAAGAAGTAACTTTCATAATCTGCATAATGTGATAAATCAAGAATTTTAAATAGTTTATAAAGTAACACACTCTTACTAGCTAATTAATTTTATTACTTAAATATATTTATTATCCTACTACCCTGAATGCACTGGATTACTTAAAAGCATTATTTAATACTTGAAAGCATTATAAGGTGAATAAGGTTAAGACTAACTCAGTTAATACAATTTAACATTTAACATAACATGTAACATTTTTTACACTTCAGATTTTTGCATTCCTAAATTTATTGAACAATTCTGAATTGAAAAATTTTTAGTATATATGTAATAGAATTTGTTAAATGTACCTGGCATCTGGTCCTATGCTTACCAAAGGCTTTGTTTTTTCTTTTAAAACATCTGCCAAATAAAAAAAGCATATCCAATTAGAATTTTCTTTAAAATGTTACTAAAAATTTTCAATAATAATAATAATAATAATAATAATATAAGAAACGTGGAAAGAAAAAAAAAATTTGAAAATTTACTTACTTCGCCATGTTTCTAATTTGTGTTCTTCAAGTTCTTCCATTTGAACCTATACAAAAATTAAATGGTCCTTTTTAAATGTTGAATATAAATGAAAAAGATAATAAGTAAACCATGATCCTTGAAATTTTAATATTTTTAATTCATATAATAAAACAATTACTTTACATAATACTTACAAAAGGAGATTTATAATATGTTCTTAGTATATTGATGAAATCTGTTATTGTAAGCATTCCTAAATTCAAAAGAAACAATGCTTAGAAAAATATCTATTGAAATAAATTGATTAAAATAATAAGAAATGAAATCAAGATTTTATTTTCAATAATTATTAGAGCACAAATTTAGAATATTAATGTTTGGTACAAAATTTTTTTCTTGAAATATTACATATTTTAATTTTAAAAATGGGCAGAGTTAAAAAACAAATATTTCTATACATTATATAAATTCCAGTAAGGATAAATACTTCTTATGCACATTCTACATTTCTGTTACTATTTATTGTTTAAGATATATTTTTGCGGCAATTTACTTTCAGTTTTTCAGTTATTTTAAATATCTGCACATGAATACCATACACAAATATACGCTTTCACAAAAATAGTAAGATACATTTTAAGGAAAAAATAATAGAGCACAGTATTCTCTTACTCGTGTGTTATCTCTGGATGATTACAAAAAACATTAGAATCTTTAAATTTTACATATGCGAGACAAAAACTAGGAAATATGGTGTAATTTTATGATAAAATGTTAAGCCTACAGTACACTTTTTATTCATTTAATATTGAAAATTTCGTAATATGAGTATTCATTAATTAAACTTGACCACACTTTTGTATCTGATCGAAAGAGAAACATATCAGTGCAAAATTTAAAACTAACTCCCATCCAAACAAAATAATAATAATTAAAGCAACCTTAGATTGGCAGAAATTTTAAACAAAACTCACTAAAATTTGCAAACTGTGAAAAATAAAAGTATCCTCAGTCAAGAATCTATTCCAATCTAAAGTTGCTTTTTTGCTTAATTTTATATATTTTTGTGTTATGGAATATTATTTTACACATAACATTCACTGTTTTTTACATGGTTCATTGTAACTCATGATTACACTACTATAACTTTTCTGCAGGTATGAATATACCATACCTTAAAGCAGCGGTGCCCAACCTTGTGCTCGCCGATCGTTTTGTGCCTGCTCGCTAGCCCGATTAGGTATTATAAACAAAAAATATTTTAAAAATAACCATTAATTTATATTTCTTAATTGTTAAAACATGGTAAGCATTTATAGTCATAAGAGATATCTTGCAAGATGTTATAAAATAATTGATTGCTGACTGATGAACTTGATAGCGAACATGGAATCTTACTGCTTCATTCCGATGTTAGATGGCTCAGAATGGGAAAAATACTTCACCGATTTGTAGAACTTCTTTCGCCAATAAAGCAGTTTTTGGAATCCAGAAACAAAAGTTATAAAGAATTGTACGATAATAACTGGTTATCTGATTTGTATTTTCTCAGGGATATAACAGCTAAACTGAACGAAGATATCCAGGGAAAAGAAAAAAAAAAAAAAAAAAACCTTTTTCAATTGACTGGGACTGTAACTGCTTTCCAGATAAAGTTAAATTTGTGGATAAATCACATGAAAGAAAAAAAATTCACCTATTTTCAGAATTTATTAAGCCACATTAAACCACAAGGCAATTGAAACAAAGAAATACTCAGAAAACCTAAATGCACTGAAAAATAATTTTGAACTCTGCTTCTCTGATTTCCATAAAGTTCAACCAATATTATTATTCATCTCAAACCCATTTGCCGAAATTAATATTTCAGATGTATCACATAAGATTGGAAATATGTTTAACAAAAATGTTGATGTTTTGGAAATGTGCTTGCCAAAGGTTGGGCACCACTGCTGTAAAGTATAAAATATTAAGGTCTCTTTTGGAAATAGGGTGAAATGGATATAAGATTAAAATAAAAACCCAAAAACTTACACATAACATTCACTTTTGAAATGAATATTAAAATTAAGAATTTGTTAGATGTATGGGGAAGAAAATAACCACATAATTAAATATATACAAGTATTTCTTTTCAAAATATTTGACTAATTATTTTGAATTTTTTCTTGGTTTTCAAATTTTTATTCTTTATTATACATAAAAAATTTTAAAAACAGAAAAAATGATGTTCCAGATTTATACATATACATATCATTGTAAATAATTGTTTTATATACACAGTTTCATTAGATAATAATGTTTCACTACTATATTTATGCAAAAAGAGCATGACATAGGGAATATTGTTTTGCATGAATGAAGAAGGCAGCATTATTTTCCATACACCCAGTGACAGATTTAACTATTTTGATATCCTTACCTACGAAAGACTGTGTTGCCGAGTCCCATAATGGAGCAGCTCGAACGCCTAATAAAGAAAGCAAATAATTAAAAAAATATACTTACAAAATTTCTAAAAATTAAAATTATTCAATATTAATAATAAAAGATTTTATGAAACTCCATATTTGCTAGTGCTTATAAAAATGAAATTCACATTCAAATTTTGCAAAAAAATAAAGATGATTAGAGGCACTGGGCAAGGAAAGGGAAAATTCAACAATTCCAGCCTAATAACTTAACACAGTTTAACAGAATGTGCTCATTGCTTATTAACTGAAACAACATATGCTTACCATTATGAACTAGAGCAAAGAAAGCTTTCTTTACCTGAAAAGGCAGATTTTTTTATTAATATGACAAAAATGTATAGCTATATGGCACTAGAATCTGTTAGAACACAAACTTTTATTTAATAAATAATTTTCAAAGCATTTTTAAAAACATCTGTAGTGTACAAAAATGTCTTTTTTAACTAGTATATTCTAATACAAAAATCATATAACAAGTTCATATTTACTGCTAGCTTTAAAATAACAGATAGATGCTATAAAAATAATCTGCAGCTATATATTTTGAAGTTTTGTTTGTATGCATAAGTGGTGCCTTCGGTTTAAACTCATGTTAAATAAAAAGGTTATTTAAAACTTAACAGGACTTCTGCTGTATTAGATGAGGCAATAACATTCATAGCTTCATTAGATTAAGCAATAACTCACTTGTCAATCTAATAGAATCTGAAGAACATTTTAATTAAATTTAAACAGTTAGGACTGCAGTGATCCCAAACTCAAACTGCAAGTTCGGCTGATATGAAAGCAGATGACAGGCCAAAGTACTTTTAAAAAATGTATAAACATTTACAAGAAAATAAAAATAAATAAAAAAAATTTTGAATACTTTACACCCAAAGGGGTGTTTTTTTTAACGTTTTGTGTGCTACCTTTATTTATTAAATATCACGCTCTTCACACTTAAACCATAAAATTCAATTCAACAGCAATACCACATAATAATTTAAAAAGGGAATGTCTTTAGAATTTCCGATACACAGTCTCGCCCGCTGGAGATAGAAATGTCCCCCCCCCATACAGTGCTGATATTGCTTGCTTTGAAATTGTTGAGTTTTTAATCAAAAATTTGTTAATAAAACCAATAATACCAATAATAATAAATAAGTTAATAAAATTTGGGCTTCCAGATGCGCATATTCAGTGGAGGATTATGTTAAAAATTTGATGGCTCTAGGTACCATTGTTTTATCACAATGTGAGAAACACACATTTATGAAGATTCTTCATTATTTAATTTCTTTAAATATAATACAGGGCTGGAATATTTGGTGGCAACAGTTTGAAAAGTTAATTAAAGCAGAAAATGAATCCAGGCAAAATGCCAAAATGAAATTAACAGCCCTTCTGGGCTAATGCACTTTGTTCTAATAACAGAAGAAATTTTAAATTTCAGTTATTGAATATTTATAAAAATATATATAATAGTCTTGGTTTTTAAAATTATATATTAATATAAGCAAAAATTATATTAATAGGTGCTTATATTAATAAATATTAGCACCATGTTTGGAACAAATACATAATATGTACCTATGAATTTGAGACCACTGCTTTAATAAAGTATTAATGTAAAATAATGATATAGTATGTGATCTACTGCTTTTATTTATTTATTTTTTACACACTGCCAATAACATTGATTATTGTTTTAACCATTTTTTTTTCCAATCACTTTATCATACATTTAAACGTGAAAGTTACTGAAATTAAAATTTAATGGATTATTAAATTAATGGAATCACTTTCATTCAAATATTCTCAATTATTTATATTTATTTTCATATCTCATAATGTATATGGCTGAATGACTCATTAAAATGGCCTTTGAAAATGCCACTACTTTTTGTTTTGTAAATTTGGAAGAACCTTGCATAAATCCTGCCAGTTTTGTAAAACTTAAATGGGATTTTAATAATTTAATGAAATTTTTATTCCATTTAATTTGAAATAATTAGTGTAATGATTTTCATTTATATATTCTTAATTATTTATATCTGCTTTAATATTTAACAGTAGCATTTTAGTGATGCCATCTAAGAAATAAATAGCTAATTAAAAGTCATAGATTGCATACTAAATCATTACCCAATATACATCCTTACCATCCTATGGCAAATATGGCATTAATGTGCATTTGGTAGTCATCGAAATAAAAGCACGTATAAAGAGAGGGAACAAGCAATTTTTCAATTTTTTTTTTTGGGGGGGGGTTACTGAATGAAAGAAATTAGCATATATTCACTACAGCAGGGTTTCTTAAACTGTGGGTCGCCAAAAATTTTAGCAGTTTTGATATTTCTTTAACTTATTATAATAATTTTACAATCACCAAATATTTTTACACAATGTATCTGAAAATAGATAAAGATAAGGCAATACAAACAAAGAAAAAAACGAAAGCGTTTTGATGCATTCTTTTTATAATATAAATGTTCATTTTCCTTGCTTTGCAGGTGACGCTATCATTTCATCTGTTACTTTTCATATTGTTCTATGTCTTAAAATTATAAATTAAAGTGGCTATGTATTATTCAAAGCAGACTTTTTCTTGTAGAATGAGACAATACTTGATATTGAAGTCTTGATAAAATTGCATGAAATGTGCTGGTTCTGTTTCTGCATATTTGATTGACTCTTTATCTAAGAACCCATTGTAGATGCACAATGATAACATACTGTGATAATTCCGATGAATTCTTCCTATTTACAGAAATGATCAACAAAATGTATCATATTTCTGCAAAAATACTTAATAGTATACCTTTCAAATTTTTTTTCCATGTTGAACTTCTACTTGAAGTTCTTGAGTTCAGCAACAATATATATACTATATCCTACAGTTGTTAGTATATACCAGACACGATTTAAATTTTAGTCAAAATGTTTAATTCCCATTTTATCAAATATTGTTATTCCAGACAGAGATCTTTCATTTTAATCATCAAATCTTCATATCAATAATGTTGCATCAAGCAATGAGGGATCAACAGAACACAAATGTCTCTCTTCTCCAAAGTTATATAGTATAGAACTTTGGTCTCACAGTAAAGTAGTATATACCAGACATAGTCAAACTGCGCTTTCCGACACCTTAACTGCTCGCGAACTACTTGCGATCCTTTGCCATCTGAAGTGTGACTTGTTCTGAATAAACATCGTTTAATTTCTTAATACAAATGGAATTTGAAATAGAAATCATGCAGTGCCACATTTCTTTATTAATCACTAATTTAATTTCTGATATTATGTATGTAAATATTTGATAGATTTCAATCTGTCCACTGCTGGCTTTTTATCAGAGCAACAAATATGTGAAATTACAAATAATTCCATTTCTAGTAATTACCATTCTGATTATGTTACTTTTTGAACAGGTAATGGTCATCGGAATACACTATTATGAAGTTAATCTAAAAGTCAATGCTAATATTTTTATTTATTTATTATCCCTAATATTTTTGTCTCAAGTTAATTTTACTTCATTTATTTTTATTTATTTATTCTCCCTAATATTTCTGTCTCAAGTTAATTTTACTTCATGCAGTATCTGCTGACATTCCTGAGTGGTCCCATTGTTCACAACAGTTGTGATCCACCTGGAAGATTTGTTATTCATTGCAGAATACTACTTTAGTCAGTCCTCGAATGGTGTGAGTAACTGCTGGAAGAAATCTGTTTCTTCTTGCAATCCACATAGAGCTCTTTTAATCTATGTAAGAATTTTATGGGGGTTTTATTTCTGATGGAGTAAACATTCAGCTTTTTACTTGGTTAGGAGACTTGTCTCCATCTTCTGCGGAACTCCTTCAAAATTAATTTCCTATCCCTAAGCAAGTCAGGCATTTTTATGACTCTGCTTCATTGATTTCACAATAATATGCTTAAAGAACACTTTTCCCACATGAAACTCTTATCTTTCATAATAATTCCTTAGTAATCCGAAGCAGAGATCATAATTTATTTCACCTATGGTTGTTGTATGCTGAAATATTTGGAGTAGTGGGAAGAATCACTGAATCAACAATGATTTAAATTTTAGTCAAAATGTTTAATTCCCATTTTATCAAACACTGTTATTCAAGATAGGGGATCTTTCACCTTAATAATCAAATCTTCATATCAATAACATTGCATCAAGCAATGAGGGATCAACAGAGCACAAACGTCTCTCTTCTCCAAAGTTTCTGTCAAAGTCGACATATTGATATTGGCGAAATCTCTTCAGCTTGTGATATTTCCTAGTGTTTTACAATTTCTTGCTTGATGACCTTCTTTCTTTCTACTTCACACTAGGTTTGAGCATTTTGCTGCATTAGGTTAGAGCCGCCAGTAAATAATGCACTATGTTAGAGGCATTTTTCTACCCGGCATATCTAAAATTTTTCACCCCTTAGTACTGCCACTCTGCAGCTGCACCGGTTGCCCCATCTCTGATGCCAGCATTAAACTTCTTTTAATTCTGTGGAAACTTTTTTGTCTTACTAATTATCAATCATCATGTATGTCTGATACATCTTTACTAAAAGCATAGTAGCCATACAAAAATTTGTAAAATGATCCACTGTTTGATCACTACAAATTTCTGTCAATAATGTGAAATTTTGCTCCTGTAAACATTTATTTTTAAAGTCTGGTCTTTTTTTTTTTTTTTTTTTTTTTCTAAAGTATCCTCTGCCTACAGACTGCAATTCAAGCTTCATTTAAAATTTATTTTCTGTACACAGGTTAGGTAACCAAATGTTGAATTATGGCTACATAGTTACTATACTAGTGCTAAACTAGGAAAGTTACTAGACTAGTTTAGAAAGTTATACTATGTAACCGTTAGGTGACAATAATCTATTTAAAACTTTCTTCCAAGTTATTTTAATTAGAAAATCAAGATGAGACAGTAAGTCATTTGACCACCTTTATAGATCCAATACTTAGAATATGGTGGATCCATACACCTATTTGGCAAAAGCCTTAGGAACTAAACTATTGTACAGATGTCTGCCCTGTAACAAAAGGCCTCCACATCACACATGTGTGCATGTCCATAGAAATATGAAAAGTTACATGTTCATGTTATATCTACATTTGTGAAATAAATTCAATATAGTAGTGACAGGTATGTTTTCTTTCTATAATATTATTTTTAATTTGCCATGTATATCAAAAACAGCTCGAAATTAAACTGCTAGGTTGAAGAGTTCAGCTGGTAAAAAAATGGAATATGTGCTTGACGAAGTGTTTATATAGCCCTCCATGAACGTGCTTGACGAAGTGTTTATATAGCCCTCCATGAACTACTAGATTTATTAGCAATAGGTTATGTATGCCCAGAGTTATCGTAACAATTCAAGAAGTGGTTTTGAGAATTTTCAATGATGCTAATGAACTTATCTATGCCCAAAATTATCAAGATGATTAGAGAGATAGTTTTGAGAATTTTGAATGATGCACCTGAACTTCATTATGGCCCATGTGTGTGCCACCAAATTTTAGAAATGTACAGAGTAAAAATTATAATGGGTTTAATCCTAGTATATGGTACACATTAGAATTGGAGAAATTCGGTTTTTAAGACATCAAGAAGCGCGCCAATTTTGGTACTCAGTTTTGGTATTTGGTGCCGAATGCTTCTGCATTTGCATTAAATTTGAACGAATAGGAAGAACTAATTTTGCTTTCTAACAATCGAGATTTAATTTTAAAATATTCGGAAGAATGAATTAATTTATTTTGAATAAAAATTAGATGCAATTATCCCATGATGGCCAAAAATGCTTTAAAAATATTATTACAGTTTTCTACATCTTATTTGTGTGAATTTGGATTTCAGTATTAACTAACATAAAAACGAAAAAAAGAGCGAGACTGTTAAATGTAGAAGACAATATGAAAGTAGTCTTATTATTTTTATGACCAAATATAAATGAAATTATAAAAACAAAAACATCAAGCTCAAATTTCTCATTGAAGGTATTTTTATTATTAACTTGTAATTAATCCCTTAATAAACATACTGCTGTTTTTGTAGTACATATTATTTTACATTCAAAATTAATATCAAACTATTTTACACAGTGTATTATTAGGTAAGTAAACAACTTTTACACTTATCTTTTTCTTTGCGTGATGCCAAATTTTGAAATCGTTAAAAGTGTGCTGAGACAAAAAATGGTTGAAAATCACTGGTCGATATCCTAAATTATTGGGATGGTTCGATGGATAGTTTCCAGAATTTTCAATGATGCACAGTGCACTGATTACTAAAATATTCTGACAGATTCCGTTGGACTCCAGGCTGAAATACTGCATCAGCCAGGGCCGTTATGAGAGGTACTGATTATTCAAATGCCACTGAAATTACGATCTTTTTTTTTGGGGGGGGCAGGGGTAATTTGGCCATCAGCAAAAGTAGTTATTTCAAAGTTTTGGGAAAAGGTGTTTAATGATTTTTTTAGTTATTATTCAAAGATTCCAATGATATCAGTATGTTGGTCTTTATGTTAATTGTGTGTATAAACAAATTTACTTTCTAAGCAAAAGCCTAAACAAGTTAATAGCTTATTTTTAAATAAATATTTTTTCTCGAATAAGAGTTTCTCTGCAGTACGCATTGACATGTATCATTTAATTTATATTTTACTCATTTACTCAAGGCTGCTCATGAATTTAAAAAAAAAAAAAAAAAAATCTATTTTCTTTTAAGTAATGATTTCTAATTTTCTCAAATACACTACTCAACATTGAAAATGCAACACCACATTGAAAATGCAACACCCAGAAGAAGTGACAAGAAAATTATGCAAATTTCAGGATAGACGCACGTCACCGAGTTATGTGAATGATGTGAAATGCGCAGTTCTTCAGAGCACGTTGAAGAAGATATAAGAGAAGGAACCTACAGAATGTCCCATTTCTGTGCCCTGCCAAAGAAATCCTCATAAAAAATGTATTCTTCTCTCAAAGGATGCGTGTAATAGCAGAGACTAACAATGGAGGCAGTTCCAGCGGACTGACGATTTTACTAGGGGCATGGTGATCCGAATGAGAAGGGCAGATTGGCCCATATGGCAAATCTCAGCTGACACACACCTGAACGTGTCCACAGTGCTTCAGCTATGATGATGCTGGTTGGAACAAGGAAATCTGGCAAGTTTGAGGGATGCTGGTACAGCCAGAGTTACTTCAAAACGTGTAGATCGATGCACCCGCAAAGAAGCAGTGGCTTTAACTTTTCTGAACACAAAACAGTAGATATAAGATTCATATTTATATGTAATCATGTTAATGACATATTCATTAATTTATTTAAAAAGTTTCTTCATATTCAAAAAACAATCTCATTATTTTTAAAACGACATAAATTTGGACTTCCAGCTCTCGAGCATTCATACAATCTATCATGCGGCTCCCATCGTTTTAAAGTTTGGTCAGCCCTAGTATATACTAACAACAATATGTATATACACACACACATATATATATACATATATGGATAAGAAATTAGCTTAAAAATAAAATATGGTTTTGCCAAATACTAGGAAAAGTTAAGAATTAAACAACAAACACTTGAACAATATATTATGCAATATTAAAAACTTATTATTATTATAATAAAATATTATTATGTATTTTATATGTATATATATATTTTGTTTCCATCAGCACAGTTTAAAATCTAATTATTAACCAAAACCATAATTAAATTCAACTTACCAGCAATTGTGTATCAAATACTACAAGTTTGGCACTAATTGGAATAACATCATAACATCGATAACATTTAAAAAATTTGACAAAAACTAGATTTTCATCTTCACCTATGGAAAAAAATTTAGGGAAAACAGAAATTAAAAGTAAATGAAGTACATGAATGACAAAAATAGTATTATGCTCTGATATGTTATACTTTTACATGCAGTTAAATTATATCAGTTTGAAAATATTATAATTCAAGCAATTACACAAATATAAACTTAGTCAAAATTAAAAAAACTTAATATGCACGATTCATGGAGGTAGGAAGTAAGAGAAGGATCCCAACTGTTTTTCGTCATGCACTGCTTTGAAGCAGTGGTGAGCCCCATGTGGAGACCAAAACATTCAAACTATGTATGTGAAAAGAATACATTTTTAAACAACATTTCATTCTGAACAAAATTAAATGCTATACCTTCTTCCCAGAACAGTTTAATTTGAATGAAGTATTTTTACAAATTTTCGTTAATTATATTTAAAAAAAAATTAAGGTAATTCAATTTTATTCGGTTAAGGATTACAA